ACCCTCTGACAGTGCAGCACTCCCTCAGTACTGACCCTCTGACAGTGTAGCACTCCCTCAGTACTATGTCTGACAGGACTGCACTCCAGTTGTATTGCCCATTCCACAGTGCTGTTCACAGTCTCCTTTTGCGGCACTTTCTCAGCATAATGCTTCTCTGAGCCAGTTCGGGGAATATTACGCTATGTAGATGTAAGTTGTTATTAGGCCTTTTCAATATGTGTCACAGGGACTGTTTTGTGAATGTGCTGTGTTGTTTGGTGGTGTTAATCATTCGAAATGCGAGTCACGAGAGTTTATCGGACATAAGCTCCATCAGTACTGCAACAGAGTGATAGGCTTGCATTTACATATATTGCACTTTTCACAAACACCAAGCGTAGCCTGTTCACAGCCAATGAAGTTCTTTTACAGTAAGTGTTGCAATGAACATATCACAGCAACTAATTTGTTATGAACAACCTCCCACCAAACGCAATGTGAAGTTGACCGTGTCCTCTGTTGTTTGTGTTGTTGTTTGAGGGATAGATATAGGCTGGGACACTGGGGAGGTTTCCCTGTTTTTCATTAAAATGAAATGTTTTGCATTCACCCAGGCAGGTAGATGGGGTTTAGGTAATGTGCGAAAGACAGCATCTCTGACAGTCCAGCACTCATTCAGACAACTGACAACTTGTAGAATATGGGACAGTTTTCTTGTTATGAAAATAGCAAACCATAGTACAGAGAGCATGACAACACTTAAAGGAGGGTTAGATTGATATTTGAGCAAATGTACAACTTGAACAGGTGATCTGTTCTAAAGGCTACTTGGACACAGGCCAAAGTCCTGACCTACCTTCTGTTGTTAGGATCCACTTCTCTCCTGTGGAGTTTTGACCAGAAAGGAATCCAGTCAGGGAGTGGCTGAACTCAATATCCTTTCACTCATGTGCTTTGAAGCTCTGAATTTAGCACAAGGACTAAGGAGCAAAAGATTGCTGCATCACCAGCTATATCACAGTGCATTTCAGCTCATATGGAGCAACCCATTCAAAGAACAAAGAACAAAGAAAATTACAGCACAAGAACAGGCCCTTTGGCACTCCAAGCCTGCGCTGATCCAGATTCCCGATTGGATTTCTTGATACCTATCTTATATTTATTGTCACTGGTTTGGCACACCCCACTAATCAAAACCCTTTCTTTATGCTTAGTCTATAAAACTCATTCAGAATTTTAAAGCCTGCTGTTAGGTCATCTCTTTCTCTTCCTTTTCCCAAGAGAAAGGTATTTGAGGATTGCAACTGGTTGATTATTTCTGCTTTATTTTGGTGATAATGTGTCATGATATGTGGGTCAGTTAGTTCAGTTGGCTGGTATGCAACGCAGAGTGATTTCAGAATATGTTCAATTCCCTCACCAACTGAGGTTAACCTGAAGGGGTCTCCTTCTCAATCACTCCCCTCTCCTGATGCATGGTGACCCTCAGGTTAAACCATCAACACTGCTCTCTCTCTCACACACACACTCTCCAAATAGAGCACAGCGCTACGGTCCGGTGAGAATATGTTGACTTTACCTTCCTTTTACAATGATAAACTCCCACTGATTGTATTCATTCTTTCCTGTCTTGATCTAAACATGCCATACTATTGCTGTTTATTAGGATAAATATCTTCCATCAATAGCTCACTCTCTTTTGCACAAGAACAGTCACTGTGAACTGACACTGAATGAGGTTGTTGACTTGCTTGCTGAGCTGGCTTGTTTTCATTCAGACGTTTTGCCACCCTGCTAGGTAACATCATCAAGTGAGGCCTCTGATGAAGCGATGTTGTTCTACTCCGCTTGGAATTTATACTGTCTGGTCTGTTATGGTGAGTAGTGTCAATTCCGGTTTTGATCTCTATGGGTTGGTAAATGGGGTCCAATTATATATTTTTGTTGATTGCATTACGGGTTGAGAACCATGCCTTTAGGAATTCCCATGAGTGCCTGTGTTTGGCTTGGGCTATTATAGTTACGTTGTCCCAGTTAAACTGATGGCCTTCATTGTCCGAGTGTACTGATATTAAGGAAAGTTCGTCTTGTTGTTTTGCTACTAGCTGATGTTCATGTATTCTGATGGTTAGTTTCCTTCCTGTCTGTCCGATATAATTTTTGTGGCAGTCGTTGCATGGTATTTTGTAAACCATGTTGGTTCTGCATGTTGTGGGAATGGGGTCTTTAATCCTTGTGAGTGTTTGTTGTAGAGTGGCTGTCGGTTTGTGTGTTGCCCTGATTCCTTGTGGTCTTAGAAGTCTTGGTGTCAATTCTGGTATGTTTTTGATGTAGAGCAGTGTGGCCAGTGTGTTAGGGCGTATTGTGTCCTCCTGTTGTTGTCTGTTTAGTAGGCAACTATGGATGAAGTTGCGGGGATATCCATTGATAGCGAAGATTTTGTACAGGTGCTCTTTCTCTTTCCTGTGTAGTTCTAACCATCAGAATACATGAACATCAGCTAGCAGCAAAACAGCGCGACAAACTTTTCCTAACAATGAAGGCCATCAGTTTAACAGGGACAAGGTAACCATAGCAGCCCAAGCCAAACATAGACACGCACGAAAATTACTAGAGGCATGGTTCTCCACCCATACTTCAATCAACAAACATATAGAATTGGACCCCATATACAAACCCATACAGAACAAAACTGGAATTGACACGACTCACCAGAATGGACCAGACAGTATAAATTCCGAGTGGAGTAGAACAACATCGCTTCATCAGAGGCCTCACTGATGATGTCACCCAGCACGGTGACGAAACGTCTGAATAAGAACAAGCCAGCTCGGCGAGCAAGTCAAGAACCTCACCCACAACCCGAGCTACAGATCTTTGCTGACACTGAATTTGTTGTGCATTCTGCTGACAGGAGTTTGTGATGATTGTGGTGTTCGGCCTGGAGTTCATCATTCGGATCTGGGCAGCAGGCTGCTGCTGTCGCTATCGTGGCTGGATGGGTCGTATTCGCTTTGTGCGGAAGCCATTCTGCATCATCGGTAAGTAACAGTCTGAGCAGGAAGGAGGCAGACAAGCTGGGCATCCAGATTAACGTAACGAGCACCAACCCCATAGATATGGGGAACAATCCCTGTCAACCGAGAATCCACTTTGGTTTAGGTTCGTAGCTATCCCACAGCTTACATTATCGATGTTTTTGGGGTGAAAACATTTGTGGGAGCTTGCTGTGTAAAGGTTGCTGGCACATTAGAATAATGACTGAGCTTTAATAGTACACCATTGGCTGTGAAGGACTCTAGGTGTGTTGAAGCTACAACCGTAAAACAAGTCTGAACTTCCTTTCTATCAAATGCTGAGCCATGAAACAACTGACATTCGCAGCAATTAATCTGTTCTTTTCTGAGGGTCTAATATGATCAAAGTTCTGCATACATTGAAATGAGCTGAGAAATGTTTGATTTCATTTGATATATTATTGTCACATGTACCGAGATACAGTGAAAAGTTTTGCTTTGTGTGTTAACCAGAAAAATCATACCTTAAATAAGTACATCAGGGTAGTAGAGCAGAATGCAGAATACAGTGTTACAGCTACAGAGAGGTGCAGAGAAAGGTCAACTCTAATATATGAGAGGTTCATTCACAAGTCTGTTAACAACAGGTTCTTAAATATGTTTGTAGGTGATTTCAAACTTTTGTATCTTCTTCCCAAAGGAAGAGGGTGGAAGGGAGTATAAGCGGGGTGGGAGGGGTCTTTAATTATGTTGCCTGCTTTCCTGAGGCAGCGGGAAGTGTAAATGGAGTCAAGGGAAGGAAAGCTGGTTTTCGTGATAGACTGGGCTGAGTTCACAACTCTCTGTAATTTCTTGTGTTCTTGGGCAGAGCAGTTGCCATACCAAGCTGTGATGGATCCAAATAGGATGCTTTCTATGGTGCAGCTATAAATATTGGTAAGAGTCATTGTGGACATGCCAAATTTCCTTAGCCTTCTGAGGAAGTAGAGGTGTTGGTGTGTTTTCTTGACTGTAGCATTGATGTGATGGACCAGGACTGATTGTTGGCGATATTTGGTTTTTGGAAGCCATTAAGTCAATTAATGAGCTTTATGAATAGGTTTGACACTTTTAATTTAAATATATAGAATTATACCCCTTGGAATGGAGTCACAATCTAGCCTGTGTATGTTATACACTCTCTGACCTGTGTATTACACCGTATATTGTACATTCTGACCTGTGCATTAAGCTGCATGATACACTCAACAACCTGCTGCATAATAAACACTTTAACCAACATACCAACAGGCACATTACATTCTGGCTTGGATATGACACTGTATATTACTCACTGACAAGTGCATTGTGCTCCATAATAAACTCTTTGACCTGCATAGTATCCTGCATGTCACTCTATGACCTGTATAACATGCTGCATATTATACTCAAAGACCTATCCATTTTTCTGTATATTATATCCTCAAAGACTTGTGAATAATGCTGTAAATGATAGTTTCGGTCCAGTGAATAAAGCTGTAAACTATACTGTCAGACCAGTGTAACATGTTAAACATTATGCTATGAAGTAGGTATTATGTTGCATATTACATTCAAAGACCTGTGTTTTATTCTATATTTTGCATTCTCTGACTGCTGTATTGCAGTGTATATTACACACTCTGACCTGTGTATTTTACTGTATGTTATAGTCACTGACCTGTGTATAATACTGGATATTACATTGTCAGGCTTGTGTATTAAGCTTCACAATACACTCTGGCCTGTGTTTGATGCTACATAATAATCTTTTCAACCTGTGAGGCATGTATAGTCCAATCTGTTCATTACATTTTATATTAAACTTTGACATGTGTATTGAGCTACATAAACATTTTTGACCCAGGTATTAAGCTTCATTTACATTATGACCTTTGTATTCCCATGTATTCCATGGATCTGTATATCATGCTGCATATAACACTGTCAAACCTGTGTATTATGCAGTATATTACTTTCCCTGACCTGTTTGTTTTGCTGTACATTACACTCTTTGACCCATTATTATGTGGTATATTACACTTTTTGATCTGTTTATGCATATCACAGGGTGAAATGCGTATGATGTGGTCTATAGTGCACATCCTGGTGTGTATTGAGTGTGAATTCACATTGGCAATGGATGATACAGAAGTAGAATGGCCATATTCACACACACATCCTTCACATTGTGGTTAGGCTGTAAAGTATTAGTCATTGTAATGTGTCATTTCAAGTCAACTGCTGCAATTATTTTCTCTGTCTATAACTAGTTTGCAAATAAATATAATACTATTCTGTGTTTGTTCATTTGTTCATTCTCTTTACTTTCCATGCTTTCAATTCCCCAATCTCCTTTCCTCACTCTCCGTCTTCTGCTGTTTGTTCCATCCTATTTCTTCACCTATATCAGTTGTCATCAATCTGTTTGTCACTCTGCATTCTGCTCTACCTGATCCTCTGTTTAGGAAGAGATAGACCAAGTAATTGCCACATAGCCTCAGTGGTGGTTGAGCTAGTTGAGAAGCCCTGAGGGGAAGTATCAATTTTCTTTTGGAAAGACACAGAATACTTAAAGACTATCAGTATGGATTTCTTAAGGAAAGAGCATGTCTGACTAACTGGATTGAATTTTTTTGAGGATATATCTAGGATGGTTAATGAGGATAATGTGTTTAATGTAGTTCCCGTCAATGTTGGCATGGTTTTTCGCATGGCCGAATATGGAAAAATGAAGAGTAAACTAAAAGCTAATGAAACCCAAGGACAAGTGGCAAGTTTGATCCAAAATTGGCTCAGTGACAGGAAGCAAAAGATGATGATAGATGGGTGTTTTTGTGACTGTAAGGTTCTTTCGACTGAATTTTTTCAGGGCTCAGTACTTAGTCCCTTGCTTCTCATGGTATTTATAAAATATTTTAGCTTAAATCTAGTTGGCATGGTTGAGTAATTTGCAGTTGATACAAAAGTCGTTTATATTGATAGTGAGGATGAAAGCTGTAGACTGCAGGGAATTGACAATGGCTGGTCAAATGGTCAGAAAATAGGTTCTATCGAAGGAATTCAATCTGAATAAGTGAGAAAATGCATTTGGAGACAGCAAAAAGGCAAAGCAATGCACAAAGCATTTCTGGGTCATCTAGTAGTGCTTTCACTTATGAACCACACAGCCCCAGGTTCAATCCCACTCCTGGGCTCCCACACACATAAATAAAGACTGTCACTCTATTGGAGGTGTCTATTTTTGGATGATATGTTAAACTGAGGGTCGTTCTGCCCTCTCAAGTGGGGATTAAGGATCCCACAGTAATATTTTAAAGAAAAGCAGAGGAGTTACCCCCACTGTCCTGGTCAATATCCATCACTCAATGAACATCTGCTGATTAACATGTTGCAGACCATATTACAATAAAAGGTAAGTTGGCAGAATATGGTCTGTGACGCCAACACAGCCGAACAGCAAACAATAAATAGTAAGATGCTGAGAAATTTAAAGGAACAGCAGGACCTTACAGTGAATGCCCACAGACACCTGTGTGTGGCTAGACAGGTAGATAAGATAGTCATGGAGGGAGAAAGAACACTTTTCCTTCATTGACTGAGGTATAGAACTGGGAGATTATACTAGAGCTGTATAAAACACTAGTTAGTCAACAGCTGTACTAGTGCCAATAGCTAGTACCAGCTATAATACTTCGTACAGTTCTGGTTATTGCCTTACACGAAACATATTATCTCACTACAGTGAGTAGAAAGGAGAGGAATGGAAGGCTACAACCAACAGAATAGATCGATAGGCTGGGGTTGGTTTCAATAGAACAGAGGTGGGCAAAGGGAGATTACATAAAGACACAGAAAGTGATGACAGTTTGAAAAGAATGAATAAGAAGCATTTATTTCCATTAGCAGAGTGGACAATTACAGGAACTCATCGATTTAAAATAACTGGGATAAGGAATCAGGAAGTTGCGGAGAAATCTTTTCACTTGAGGGTGGTGAGGTCTGGAACTCACTGCCTGAAAGAGGAGTATAATTATTGCATCTGAGAACTTTATGTAAGTGCTGTAACCCGTAGCATTGTTTCACAGACCAAGGTATTAGGTTGGATAGCTCCTTTTAGTGGGTACGTTCATGATCCGCTAAAGAGCCTTCCAATTGCCATAAATTTATTGTTTTATTTCTGTTTCTATGTTGTACGCTCCTCTGCCTGTTTATCCCTGCCTGTTCCTTCTCTACTGTTCACCTATGTCTGTTCCTTTCAACTTGTATATCTGGATCATTGCTCGTACCACAACTGTTTACGATATATATTCATGACTTGTAAGAAGTACTGTAGCCAAATTCACAGACTAAACGAAAATGGGTGGAATTGCAGATTCACGCAGTTTACAGAGAGATAGTAATAGGTTGAGTAAGAGGGCAAAAAGTTGACAAATGGAGTGTAATGTGGAAAAATGTGAAGTTGATCACTTTGGAAGGGAGAACAGAAGAAAAGAAGGACATAAATGGAGAAAACCCACAGAAAGCTGCAACACAAAATGACTTAGCAGTACTTACACACGAAACACAGAAAGCTAGCACACAAGTGTAGCAGGTAATCAGGAAGGCTGATGGAATGTTGGCCCTTATTTCAAGGGAGTTAGAGTATAAGAGTCAGGAAGTCTCACTGCATCTGTACAAGGTGCTTGTGAAACTACATCTGGAGTCCTGTGAGCAGCTTCAGTCCCCTCATTTAAGGAAAAATATCACTTCATTGGAACAGTTCAGAGAAGGTTCATTAGGAACATTCCTGTTATGGAGGGATTGTCTTATGAGCAAAGCCTAAACAGGTTGGGACTCGACTCACTGGAGTTGAGAAGAATGAGAGGTGATTTCGTTGAAACATTTAGGATTCTTAAGGGGCTTAACAGGGTAATTGCTTTCCCCCCTGGGAGAATCTAGTACCAGAGGGCATAGTCTCAGAGTAAAGGGCGCCAATTTAAGACTGAGATGAGGAGGAATTTCTT